ATATTAACTTCTTCAAAATGAGGTTTAAAAAAAGTGTACCATTTATGTGCCGAATAAATTATATGCCGCTTTATAGCTGAAGATAAAAGTTATATAATTTTGATTAGCCGAATTATATATTTTTTTGACGAATGATTAACGAGTGGCATTATGCCGAATAAATCCATTTCGACTAGTGTTATTCTTTGGTTATATGAGAAAAGACCTGTGATGGTTTTTTTTTCTTTTGTTCTCTTGTATCCCTTCTTCATTTTATTATATTACAAAAACTATCCACATCAATACCATTACACTTGCTATATTAAACACCTTTCAAAAAACATACTCAAACAATATTGTTAAATTTATTGTTTGTTTAATACAATCTTCATATATAACTTTACCATGATACTATTTACTGTGCCATTTCAAAATTTCCAAAAAAATTTTTTCAAAAAATTGAAATCAGTTTACTTTTTTCAAATAATTGTTATTCTTCAATCATCCAATCAGATTTCGTCAAAACAATAAAGAAAAAATCAAACCTGTCCAAACTAGTTTTTTAATATAACAATAATAATAATAACTATTACAATAATAAACAATGTCAAATATACTCTACTATTTATGTTAACAAGGATTATATCTCTAAGACCAGCACTAGTGCAAGAGCCAGACTATTGGCTATCTTTTAGATATTCTTTTTGTTTATAAGGATCTTATAGTTTAAGTGACTTAGTTTTGGTTTCAATAACTATTGTTATTATAGTTTCAGTTTTTTTTTCTTTTTAATTTTCTTTTATTTCCTATTTATTTTATATCTAATCAAAAAATTTTAAGTAAGTAAGTATAGCTGCTCTCAGTTATATTTGGAATATATAATATTGTTTTAAATTCTTTTTAATATTAACTAGATATAGATGTGTAGACAAGCTAGTATTTAACATATTATATGCTATTAGCATTCAAGAGATATTGTTTCTTTCACAAATGTATATAACTTTAAATATAATACCAATAAATAAAAAAATAATGTTTAGCAATAGCTAGTAGACCGTTCATATATAGGTAATTGTGATCGTAATTGAAATATCAATAAATCCATGTGTGTATCGCAACTTAGCTTTAAAAAAAAATAAAAAATAAAAAATAAAATAAAAAAATAATGTTTAATTACTGGAAAAAAAAATAATAATTAATTTATATCAATCTTTTAATAGAAATAAGTTATTCATAGTTTTTATTTTATAAATTTGGAAGCTAAATAAAATAAGAAGACAGTTTTGTAGTTATTCTTTTTAAATAGCAAATGAAATAGTGATATTATCAAATATTCAAAATAGAGTTGCTTATAACTATATACTTTTAACATGTTGGTTAGCAGTTTAGATTCTTAGAAAAATAAAACTTTATATGATTAGTATTGTCAATCAAATTTTTTTTTCCATAATTTATTTATAGACCTAAACTATCCAGATATAATTTGATATTCTGCTTACTTAATTAAACATTACTTTTTATTCAATTTATTTTTTATTTTTAACTATAATTTCTATCTTCTTGAGTTATTCAAAAATAGTTAAGAACTTTTTATTGTTTTAGGCTACTTTTTCAAAAATAAGTAACTTGTTAAAATGATGTATTACTAGATTGAAATGGGCTTTTTATAGAAAGAGTTATCAGATACTCATGGAAAAATGATTATTAATTCTTATCTTTTTTATTAAAACCAGTATCTTTATACTTCTTGTTATTTCCAGTAATTATTATATTACTAATAAAATAATTGTTATGTTATAATACCTTTTTTTTTATAGTTACAATCTTATTGTTTGTGAAATCTATATGTAAATTAGCTTATATAAGAAATGACATTTTGACAAGTTATAATACTAAATATTATATTGGTTTTATTAACTGCCTTTATCTAGAATTGAACTGGTATTTTGTAATTTGATCTGTAGAGCACTAACTATTATATTATAGATTCATATATTTGTTAATATATATAATTTGGATTATAATTAATAATTTTTAAAATATAATTAATATTTTAAATTTTGTGTAATTTGTATTATATATAATATTTATTTTTTTTGTTAAAATTAAGTAAATATAACTTATTATTTCAAATTATTTTTTTAAAGTTATTAATAATCTATTTTTATATTTAAAATATTAGCAAAGTCTATTTTCAATTTTTTATAAAACAAATAATGACTTTTTAAATTTTTTTTATATAAAGTCTAATAAATAATTTTTTTAAATATTTTAATTTATGTTTTTAATATAAAAAGATTTGTTAATTCTGTTTTATTTGAATATTAATTTTTTTTATTAATAGTAAGTTTTTTAAAAATAATATAAACATATATATTAAGAAGTTGTAATTATTTAGTTCTTTGTATTAGTTTTGTAAATTTTATAGGACTTTTAATGATACCACTTCAATATCACTTTGATACCAGTTCAATACTTAAATTTATTATAAAATAATATAAGTAGGTTACAACTCTTATATTAAATTTACTATAGATTGGTACCATTTTGATACCAATTCAATACCAGTTCAGTACTTTTCGAAGCCCTAAGATTTTATCTTAATAAACTTGTTTATAATGTTTTTTATAATAAACTTGCTGCAATTGATGTAATTGGCAATAGTATAATATAATTTTTTTTTTAAGATCATAAATTATAGCTGATTTTTTTTAGAAATTAATTCATTTTTCATATTCATATTGATTAAACATGAACAATTATATGAAAATCGAAATAAAAAATACAAAACAAGTAAAAAAAAAATTTCTTTATTTTTAAGTTTTATTTTTTAAAAAATTAATTATATTACATAAATATATTATATACATTTTTTAAAAAAATTAGCTATAATTAAAAAATAAATATAATATAATTAAAAAAATAAAGTGTCCATAAACTTTTGGCAACCCTCTGTATAATAAATTTAAAAAAGTATATAAAATTTTGTCTATATTTTTTTAAAAAAAATTGCAAAATGAAATATTGAATAAGAAACCAATAAGATTGATTATTGATAAATTAAATATTAAAGTTTTTTTTTAAAAAAATTTTTTCATGACATTTATCTTTAGCATAAATTATTAAAATTAAAAAAATGTTTTATCAAGCGATAGATACAATTGCAAATGAATAATTTCAAGATATAAAAAATTAGAATAATAATCATTATTGTTTGCACAAATTAGTCTCGTAGAAACCATTTTTCATTTAGAGCTTAGATAAAAATAATTTTTAAAGTTTGACGTTTCTTTTTTAATCATTCAAATTAAAAATAATTTTAATTAACATCTTATGGTACGAATTTATAATGCATTCTATTTAAAATGGATTCGTTAAAAATCAATAAAATATTTAAATAACAATTATGTTCATATTCGATATCCTATCGAGCTCAAGTTATAAATAAATACGAAGATAATGATTGATGAGAAATTAGATATTATCATATTATCGATAACATTTAATTTAAAAAGTTTGTTCGTTTTTAACCGGTAAATAAAGCTTTGACCATAAGAGGAATTCTTTTACAATGTCAAACGAGAAATGTTAATATGAAATATTTGATCATACTATAATTTCGACTGCAGGTTGAAGATATCATTGAATAAAATAAATCAAAGTTTATTGGTAAAAGGCAACATATAATTATTGTTTTTAAAATGATTGATGGGTTTCTGTAGCATTTTTAAAGTATTAATCAAAAGGTTGAATACGATTTAAATTCAAAAATTCAAAAATTACTCAAGGCCTTGACGATCCCGGATTTGGTTCATGCAATTCGGGCTGGTCTATGCGATTTCTAGTAAAAAGATTCGAAATTTCAGATGGATTCGCGTTAGTAACATCACAATAACATTGATGATGGAAGTAATATTCCAAGTTACAATTTTAAAATTTTAAGGAATTAATAATGTGGTATGAATATTGCAGAAGGTACGACAGCGTTGAGTAATAAAAACGAATTTCGGATGGTGAAATAGTAATAGTATTTACTAGATATGCATTTTGTGCATTAAAATGACAGTTTTCATATCCGATGCGTAGGGCATAGTGAAGCTATAATTCTCTTAAAAATTTTTTTAATATACATAAACGCGTGATGAGGCTACTTTAGACCACAAAATATGGTCTCTTAGTCGCATGAATAAATGAGAACGGGATGCTTAATTAAAGATCATTTTGATTAATTCTTATATTATGATGATTGTACTAATTTAAGAAGTCGATGCTAAGATTTCGAAAACTATATATAGTGTGTTAAAGGTTCTTCCTCTTGAATTTATTTTCAAACTTCAAAGTTAAAATGGCTACTACTACTCTGATTCGTCATCGAGAAGAAGAAGTTCAGGAATGTGTTATTAAGTTGCAGACTAAAGCCAAGTCCGAGTTTGAGAAACAGGTAGAATATATAAAATTACTTATTCTATGCATCAGCTATCTTACCGTTTGCGTTACGTTTTAGGCCAGAGAAATAAAAGAAGAAGTAGAAGAAATGAATGAAGATCAAGTGGAAGATTATGTGCATCACAAATTCCAGAATCTCAATGCGATGTTTCTTGAAAATTCAAGGATTGTAGAGGAATTGGTTCTTAGTAAGAGGCCGAAGAAACCAGTTAGACACGCTGGACTAATATCGGAAGAATACCAAAGGATGTGGGATGGTGAGCTTCACTAACGACAATAATAATTAATTTTTAATCACGTTGCTTAAACATTTTCAAAATTTAAAAGCTTATCAGGAGGAACTCAAAAATTACAAAAAATTTGTTACCTGGAGTATGAACTTGGTTAACCGACTCATGACTTGGCTCTCCGAATTGTTCAGTGATGTTATCGCGTTCGTGAAGAATTTGTGGACCTGGATCAAGTCCAAGATTCATAATATTTCTGAAAAGTATGTACCCGTATACTGTATATTGCCCGGATCGTGATTCATTTTTCATTTGATTCGAGTTAACATCTCATTTATATCATCAGCGTTCGGGAATTCGTAGAGATGGTGGCGTCGAAGTTTAATCAATTGTATAATTATCTCTTTGAACAATAGGCAATTAGGAAGTAGATCTTGTACAGTGCATTGTCAATGCAGGTTTATAAATATTTTTTTAAAGAAAGAATTCCAATAATTAAAATTTAATAATAAATCAAATTTTGTTTTATTTATCAAGAATTTAAAATAACAATTAAACATTTTAAGCATTGAGATGCTGTAATTAAAATTTTGACTTAATGGGAATTTACCATCAAACCTTTCCGATAATGAATGAATTCATGGTTCAGCCTGAAAAGAGAGTTTCGTTATCTAAAATTGCTATGTTCTATCTAGAAATGTATAAAGTTTAAAGAAATTTACATGATTTAATGTTGTATAAAGAATTCGTTATTTACGTTTTACAGTAATATAAAAAATCAAAATATGCATGTTAATATAGAAGTTTTTTTTTTTCTAATATATTTTATATTTATACAATTATCAAGTAATTTATAACCAAAATTGGTAGCCCGTCCTAATTTGTGTGACCCGTTTGTACGCCATTAAGATCACGTTACGTCACTGTTTTTATCTACAAAAAGCATTTTGACGCGATTTACTTTGGTAACCTGCATATCATATTTTCAACATGAGAATCGAAGAACTTGTGATTGACGGTTTTAAGTCATACGCCGTTCGT